ATGACCTGTTGGATGTTTCTTTTGACCGAGGGAAATGCGCAAGCATTTAGTTCAATGTTTGGAGAAAGGTCGTTTTTGAACCTTTTCCGCGATAATCGAACACCGCTAGATTCTGTAAGAGACAAACTTGTGACACTAATTTATTTTGTTAAAGTTCAATGCCAGATTGTTAGGACGACATGGTACAGTGCGAGTTTGTTATTTCAGATCCTTCAACAGGTAATAATCGTTAAAACTAGAAAATACGATTGAGTTCGATGCAATAGTCTCTACTTCTGTTAAGACGTTGACATTAATGTTGATTTGCATCAGAAAATAAGCTGAGAGTGCCAATAGTTCAGAGTAGAACCATTTTTACTTATCATAGGCTTTACGAACGACTTGTAGAAGGAGTAGTTACTTCGTTCTTGTCAAGAAACTGTTTAATGTTATTTAATTAGAAAATCAGATGAGTCACTCATAACGGTTATTTTTGTGACTGGACGCAATAGTGTCTACTATAGTTATGACGTTTCGTATTAGTGTTGATTCGCATCAGAGGAAGCAAAGATTTATTGTTACAACTCCAATAGTTCGAATGCAGTAGTTTATTCGTATCTAATTCTTGCGTATACTGTACGACTCGCTATAATAAATGCGGCAGAATTGGAACGAAATGGCTGTTTTTCTTTACCTTTACTGAGGAATGTTGTGTTGTGATTGAAGAGAACATCGACAAAAACTTGCAAATAGAATTAGTTACCAAATATGGTACAAACGATGCTTAAAAGGGAAGTTTGGTAGAGGGGTTGAAATCCGCTGTGACACAAGGAAAGGAGTCATCGATGGATCTGGACATTTTAGTTTTCTGAAAATTGATTCCTGGAAGGTTTTTCTAGATATCATGGAAAGAGCTTGGTATTTCGGAGATTGAATCATCTTTGAATTTATATGTGTCAGGCTTGTTATGAAACTGATACAATAAGATGGAGAAGATATATAAACTGGAACTCAAATCTGGCTAGAATGTGGTAGAGCATAATGTGATCATCGAAACAGCTAATAAAATCATAGATAAACAAGGTGAGTGTTATGTTGGATTTTTTTACAAATTGTAGTGATTTATGCCAGTAAACGGTGACGTCTAGTAGGCACACAATGTATATTTCACAGTCGCTCGCTGGTAAATTTTGCCGGACTTTGAGTTCGTCTCAAGATAGAATAACACAATTACACTAGAAATTTTTACAGTAACTTTTTAAATATCCTTTTGTCTGTTAAAATCTCGAGGCTCAGTAGGTTCTGTCATATTGGTCATTGTGAAAACTGTCTTTGTTTTGATGCTACTATTCGACATAGGAAAAGTATGTCGGACAAAAATATTCACCAAAAAATAAATATTTCTTTGCCAGCTTCAATAATGACAGGGGATTAAGTTTAGAAGATAAAACAAAGGATTATGTTGACAGAAATACCGGAGGTCAAGTATATTCGTTACATGAGGTCACACAACTCGGGTAATATTCACGGTGAAAATTTGCATATTTGAGCGTTTGAATGAAAAAAATCATTTCTCGAAAACTGAAATATTTTTTTACAAAAAAAACAACACAATTATTAGGACATATTGAGCATAAACTTTAACATAAAGTAGGAGTGAAAGGAAGTTTGGGGTTGCCGCTGTTTGTCTCATACATACTGACGTTGGCTCTTAATTACTGATAAAATTCCGAGAGTGTGATTCAATTATTCAAAAGCGAATATCCAAGCGGGTTACAGAAATAGTTCATGAATTGTAAACTGTTGATGTGTTGACAAAACTTTCCTTAATTATGGTGCCGATACGCATTTATCGATCATAATCGCTCATGAAATTCCGAGATTGTACCTCAATAAATTCAACAGAAAATATCCAGGAAGGTTACTGGGACGGAATCTTAAATTCGAAAACTGTAAACAACAATTATTTACGCTAACCACGTGCTTACCAGCGTGCTTGTGAGGTCAAATTTCCAGAACTCCGTTGAATTACACGATCACAGCTTGGACGCTTCTTGCAAAATGTGATGACTATCAGTCTCAGGGATTGATTCTTCAGTTTCCAGCATTAGCAAAAAAATTATCGTATCGCAAGCATCATAGCCTGAGCAGTAAGTCCGCCTCGAGCTGTTTAGCGAAGAGAAAGTGGTTCCATGTTTTGTAAGAGAATTTAAACCATCTCCTGAAGTTCGAACGAATCGAGTAGAAAGCATGAAAACATAGCACTGAAAAGTAAGACAACTCATCCCGCTGTTGCACTACCTCCGTTTTAGCCGTGAGTTTGTTTGCACAACATATTTACGGTCCGTAATTTAATTCTCAGATGTTTGAAGGTTTCTCACATGACAATATTGTCAAAATCGAGTTACGCGTCAGACTTAACGTAAACACGAACATCGCTGACTCAATCTCGTTCAATTTCAATTTTGGAAAAGGCCATTACTTCTGTCTTAGGGGTAAAACAACACATCATCGACAAAGCGGGATGTTTTAAAAATCAATATAGTAAATCCTGCGATAGTTAACTGAGAGGAAAAAAAATAGAAACTTGCGCTCGCTGCCACCATCAGGCAAAGCAAAATCCGTAAGATAACTTCTTTTCCCTTAGCACCACAACCGTATTAAACATTCCAAATGATAAGACAAGAAACAACCTGAAGAATAAGAGCATGATGAGATGTTATTCGAGCAATGAACCGGCGCGAGGGTTTTCAGGCGATAAATGCCAAAGTCAATTATTTTACCGAAAAGTAATCAGTTGAATTAAAAAAAAACTAAAAGCTGGTATGAAACGACGATTGGTTGAAAAAAAGGTTTGCATTTTTCTGGGCCTCAGCGTAAGAGAAAACCCAGATAAGGGACGATCGACTTACCTCTTCTTCTTCTTCCGATCCTTTGTGGTTCGGCTCTCTGTGTTTATGACCTCTTTTTTTGTCTGTTTTCAGGAGCGTCTTTGTATCGCGTTGCTCTTAGCTAAATATTCGCCCTTTTACTTATGCCTTTTCTTGTTCTCTTTCGCGTTCCTTTCGCCGTATTCTGCCTATTTTGGCGTCCTTTCTAACTGTCTTCCGCGGTTTTCTGGACTCGCTTTATGCCGTTTACTTGTTGCTTTCTTTGTTCGCTCTGTCTCTTTCGATCCAGCCTATTTTCACTCAAAAGCCTCTCTCCACGAACTTGAATTATAAAAATTTCCTCCGGTTGACAAAGCTTTAGCTCTGCCGGTATTGTTGCCTTGCGAGTTAATTGGAAATTGAAAAATACTGAGAGCTACTGTTTAATTACATCCTCACCAGTTTGATTTCCCGCTCAAAACGCGGGTTTCAAATTATTTACTTGCGCGCCTTCACGTCTACTAGCCCACTTGAATCCCTCGTGTAATATCTAACCGTGTGCCCGCGGTACACTGCACCAAGGCTCGGCACTGGACTATGCGCTCTTCATTGTCATCTGCCGGCGTCTCCAAGCGCACACTAATGGGGTATCCAAGTTACGCAAGCAATGGCGCCTGCACATTACATTCTTCCTCGGCCTTCCATTACGTAATGGCTGAGATAGTGCTCGCGGTACAGTTGGTCACGCATGCTAAAAGTAGCATCTGGTACGGATGCCCGTACGGTAATAAGTCGAATTTTTTTCGGCTTGATGGGTTACTACTATTTCGTGTACTTATGGGGCTACGCTGCTCGCGCTGCGAGGTCTGCTATCATTGCTTTATGGCGAATCTTTTCATAAATAAGAACGTGTACTCATAAGAAACATTAATTTGTACGCTGTCAAGTGTTATAAATCCATAAAATCAAATGAAAACAGTTGTAAATGCACTTTTGACAGCTGAAAAGAGCGTTTTCAAGTCTTTATAGCACGTAAACAGACGCCTCTTAATTAAGAAATTACGTAGGGCATTTATAGGTATAGTATAGCTCTCCTGTTGTGTGCCAGTTTCCGATATAGCACTATTGTGCAATTACCACTATCATAAAAGTTACCAAGCTATTTACAGCATGCTGAAAAAGATCGAAGACTGATACCTCGTAATTTGTTTGTTCACATCGTGTGAGCCAAGCATCTTAACATAGATATCCAGAAAATAAACGTGAGGTGTTCAGTCTCTCTCGGTTTTTACAGGATCTCGAGATATCTAGAGTAAAAACATAGGGAGCTAACCATCATTCATATACCAACCGAAGTTTTTTTCCAAACGTATTCTTGACCTATAAGTGTATCTTGAGTTCGAGATGTCTGATAACCACTGCTGTCATAATCAAAATTTGTTACTTTCCAGAGAGAAACGAGCATCGTGTTCATTTTCTTTTCCGCTTTTGTACAGGAAGCGCATTTTAACTTTTGTGTTTTCTGCCATTTATTGCAGCGAGTATGTGAAGATTTTCAGTGGCGATGGAACCCTCGTATATCACAAGGAGGGTTGTTGTCCCAACGATCCGGGATCCTTTATTGAAATTCCTTTTATGCAATCCGAAAACATCAAAGTCAATATTTTATTGACTGAACTACAAAGCCGCATAACATCCCACTTTGTGATATTAAGACATGGCCTCCATTCAGGTAAGGAAAAATGTTACTTGTCATTGCACTTTAAATTTGTACAGTCACCTTACTTTTTACATTCTTTTTAAACATCTCTCTAAGGGTTTGATTTTTCTGCCTCTACTGTACATTTCACCGCTTGATGTTACATTTTACGAACGGAATTCTTCATTTATGCCAAGGAATGAAAAAGCACCTCTTGAATTCTTACTCTTTTAGCTACTTATACTCCTGGCTGGCTAGCGTCAGTAGACAATATCACAAGCTCAAGCATTTTAATTCAGTGGAATAACCTAACCAGCTTTATAAATCGAGAACTACTTCACTACATCGTCCTTCTCTCATCCTCCGATGGAAGCCCACCATACCATGCTAATGTAGATGGAAGTAGACTATATATAGAAATTTATGGACTGGACCATTCACAAAGGTATCATATGGAAGTGTTTGGAGTGGACGCACTTGGCTATTGTTACAAGACTCTAGAAGTGAACGCTACCACGAAAAAAGGTAAGGCAATACGGTACGAGCTTAGATCTTTTCGTTACTCGTTTAGGTGGCCATAGAAAGTTGCGCGGACAAATATACCATTAAATGTAAACTAAAAATTGAACCTGATGTTGTGTTTTCCGAAGACCTTGCGAGGAATGACTTTAAGCTGTACACGTATTGACTTGTTGACATCCCATCGAAAATCGACCTACAAACTTTTGGGTAGCAGCAACTATATTATTAATTTGTGTCAATTAAATCCCCTAGCCCAGGTTATTCGAAGGGTGGATGATAACGCTTTCCACTGGATAAATCGCCTTCCGGTGGATAGCAAATAATTTTTCGTTAACAGTAATCACTAGAGAGTGATTTATCCTTTGGACAGCGTTATCCACCCTTTGAACAACCGGGCCCTGATGGTGATTTTCTTATCGAGACCTACGCTGTACCACACTACGCCAAGAGCAATGTATAAACATCACTTAAAGATTCGGCGATAAGATCGGGCACGAAGTGACGATTTTGCTCTATCCGAAGATTGGTCATAATCATAATAGTAATTCAAGACTTCAAAGCTAAGTACACATGCCTAGAAATTTATCAGGACGGTGAAGAAATCTCGGTCCACGCCGCAAGGACTCGAGCCAGAAGCGATCGTGTGGTCAGATACTCTATCAAATGAATGACAGAAAAGGCCATGACAAAGATTAAACTAACTTGTAATATATTGATAAGAGATAATAATTTAAATATATATATATATATATAGCCGGAAAATGATAAAAATATTCAAACAGCTTTATTCTGAGACCTTGCTGAATTGTTGCTTGTTTCTTTTTCAGTGTCATGCGGATATCGACCAAGTGGCATGCGTATTGTTGGTGGGTCAGTCGCCCCAATCAATAGCTGGCCCTGGCAGGCGATGCTGCGGAACAGTTATGGTTGGCAGTTTTGCGGTGGTAGTTTGATACATCCGTTCTGGGTTGTCACGGCCGCTCATTGCGTACATGGAAAATCCGCGTCGTCGGTGAAAGTCCTGTTAGGAGAAAATTTTTCTTCACGCTTAACTGTCTTTTAAAAATTAAGCCTTTAGCAGTTGATATTCCTAATAACTTGGCAACAAGTGTAGAAAATTCATTCAATCCTGCACGCTGGAAATTAATTGAAAAGCTAGAAATTTTACTGTTGAACAACAAAGATTCATGAATAGAACCTGATAAGCTGAACCTCCGGCGAACTTTTCAGATAGGATTACTTTTCAATGGTGCAAACAAACCTTGATGTGCAGCAAGGTGACTTAAACCGAGGGGCCCTAGATTTGAAATCCAACGCCACCTACAAAACTGCATCACACGCGGCCTCGCCGTTTCCCCTTGACGGTTAATTGACGCTCAATATGTTTTTAAAAGATTTTTATTGTATACTAAAATGTGCGATTTTTTCTTACGGTACGATTAATAACATATATTGTGTTTTGATTCAATTCCAGATTGGGGGCACATTACAAATCTTATGGCAATGTCAGCACAGAGCAGAATTTTGATGTTATAAAAATAATTGAACATGAAAGCTACAATAGCCCATACCGCTGGAGCAATGATATAGCTCTATTACGGTTATCAAAACCGGCTAAGCTTGGAAAAGGAGTTGGGCTTGTTTGCCCTCCGGATACGAGTTTTAAGCTTCCTTTCGATAGTCCTAACAAGAAGTGCTGGATAACTGGTTGGGGAAGACTTTCGTACAATGGAACCTATCCCAACGAGTTGATGCAAGTTGATTTACCTTTGGTATCAAAAAAGCGCTGTATTACGTCATACCCAGATAAAATCGATGACTCTATGATATGCGTTGGCCAAGATGAAGGTGGAATAGGAGGTTGTTCTGGCGACAGCGGTGGACCACTTGTGTGTGAGTTCAGTGGTAAATGGTATCTGGAGGGAGCTACTAGTTGGGGGAGCAAACGCTGCGCAGACCCATTGAAATACACTGTATATGCCAACATTCGCCATTTAAAGTCGTGGATAACAAGCAAGATGTCCTCTTTCCCTGTTACGGCGTTTTACCTATCATGTAATTTTGACAAAAGTCTGTGTTCGGGCTGGGAGCAGTCTTACTCAGATGCTTTCGACTGGACACGACATCGGGGTTCAACTCCATCTCTGTCTACAGGACCATCCTATGACCACACTAGTGGATCAGGTATTTACTTGCTATCATATACGAGTCGATGGGCTGACTCTCTAAGTTTATCATGACCCAGAAACCTTAGCATTAAGAGACTATTTATTCACGTAATTCACATTCACAAGATATTTGCTAAGATTATCCGACTGTATACCGTTGCTATGCAGATAAACCATTTTGAAAAGTTTCTTAAACTTTTAAGATAAATTGGTTTTATCGACTTAGATGATAACGCAAGTTGACCAACATACATAGCTGATGTTTGAAGCCTTAGTCATACTTACCTACTCACTCACTCACTCTCTTACACTAAGCCATCTTTCCGTCACATTGGCTATTCGATATAAACAAACTCAGGTTAATTTTGCCCATGAATTTTGCAGAAACTTAAATAGAGACATCAATGTAGTTTTTTCATATATATGTATTTCTCTGTTATTCAGGATATTATATGTACATCGAGGCATCGTCCCCTCGAGTTATGGGTGATAAAGCAAAGCTTGAACTCTCCTTATGCGGAAATGGAGATGAGGCTTGTCTTACATTCTACTATCACATGTACGGAAACACTACGGGGACCCTAAATGTCTTCAGTGGAAGTAAGGTTGTATTCAGTGCCTCAGGAAACAAAGGCAACTATTGGCAGAAGGCCGAACGAACTATTTATTTGGACAAAGTTGTAAGTCACTTAAGCAATATCATTGTTTTTTTTTTTCAACACCCTTATAATACCAGGTGTAAATAACTCTTATCTGAAATGACTGCTTATCGCAATGCAATGTAGGCAGGGTGGTTTGTGTGAAAATTTAAGTTCTTTGCTTACAGCATTAATAATTCCATGAGGTGAAGGATTATTGACAAAGTGGGATAAGAGTTAAGTGTCCAGTTACACAGCTCTAAATTCGATTTATTATAGAACGTCCTTTATTCAAATTTTGTCTTAGGTCACTTTTGAGGGGATAGTAGGATCATCTTTTAAGGGAGACATTGCCATTGATGACGTTTCGATTAAGAGCGGACGCTGTCTTACATCACCAGGTGCGTAGCATGAACATTTTAATAGACGCTACGTGTGATTCCCTCTTTTCCTTTCACAATCTTGAAAACTGCAGCTGGGCTAAGTCACTCAAAATCAATTCTCAATAAACACCCACAAAGTTTTCATAACGAGCTCACTCTTAATAGCCTCTCATCTTTTCCGGCCTTTTTACACACTTCACTTTTCGAAATTTCCTCGTTAATATTAATACCACACTCAAAAAAAATAAGACTTAATTTATCTCAGTTCAAATTCATAGTTCTCTTCCGAGCTCGGAGAAACCCCTACGAGATCATAGGAGACGGTTCTTACCTCGTAAGAGCCCAGTGATAAAACTTGTTGAATAACTATACGCAAGAAAATCAGGATTAGTCATATCTTATCTTATTGAATATTTCAGCAACCACGACATGTAATTTTGACAGTAGACTGTGCTCCGGTTGGTTGCAGTCTTACTCCGATGTCTTTGACTGGACACGAAATAGGGGAGCAACGACATCTTCTAACACTGGCCCAGACTACGATCACACCACAGGCTTTGGTAAGACTCCTTAAAACTAACATCAACGATTACATTTCAATTTCTTTGGTTAACGATATCTTAAAATGCCATGGACACAGCGAAATCAAGCGCCTCTTTTTCTCCTTTGAGAAACGCATGGAATTTAAAGTGAGTCTTTTTTGTCTCATAATTGGCTGTCATTCTGTCACTTTCAAAGAAATGATAAAATACGTGTGTGACGGGATGTTGTGTCTGCTCTACAGAAGGCCATTCGAAGAAAATGGCACGGGTGTTTTATCGCCCGCGAGAACGCTTTGAACAACGCGAGTCGTCTGAGATCTGTCACTAATAATGAGAGCCTGTAAGAACAATACTCCTTTTTCATTCAGTGTGTTCGCTTAGTTGCCAGTTCCTGTCATTATGACAAAGACCAGCGACTTTGCCTAGTAATCCAAGCGTTGATATGCAAAAATCTATCGACTAAAACAAAGTTGCTTAAAACAGCATTATTGACAAATTTGTTCAATTTCATATCAAACATACTTAAGAGGCTGTCTCTCTTATTTCCACCCGGTCAATTTTGCGTCAAAAATAATTTTGCCTGAAACTCTGTTAATAGAAAGACTTTACCTAGGAAAGAACTAAATTAGATTTGGTTTGATTCGAAATAATTTTCTGACTGCATTACGGGCCATAATTATTTCCCAGTCCGTGGGGACCGTCGCAACGTCTCGAAAATTGAAAAATAGGCATATTTTGTAACGTTGTAAAATATTTGATTCGCATAGTTAAGCCACAGAATTTATATCAGATTGCTTAAAATCCTTTCTAGTTTGCCAAGAAAGTTAGAATTTGCCCTCTCAACAAATTTGAAAAGGCGAATTTTAGCATATTCTGACCACTAGAAATCGCCATCGGCCGATGGCCGTAAATAACCTTGATTTAGACGCTAAGTTTTGGGATTTGGGACCTGGTTGACGATTCTATCCTACACAGCCGTTAAGTTTAGACCTTTATAGGCAAAAATATGCAAAAACCCCTGTACGTTTTCGATTTTTCAAAAGTTATGACCGTTTGAATCAGCACATGTACGAGCATTCGCGATTTTTTCGCCTACACCAAAATCGAACCACTGGAGCAGATTTCGTCATAAATACAGCTTACCCGCTTTGCAGCTCGGCTTCATGGCTCACTTCAGAATTTTTCTAATAACCAAATTGGTGAAATCCATGATAACTTCAACAAATAGCTAGGTATTGCCTTCGAAAAGTAGGCGGCATCCATCGTGATTCGTGGTATCAAAACAAATGCCGGAATTGGCCACATTTCGCGGTGAATCACCCATTTAACATCGCTGCAGAGCTGAATTTTTTCCAAAATCAGAATATAAACTCTCCATGTCTGGAAGCTGAGGGAGAAATGAAGGTTTTAGGCTTCTGAAGTGAAGTAATAATCGCTTAAATTTAGATCCAGTTCGATGTCATACTGTTCTCACAAAGGTCCGCACAAAAGAGAAGACCGCTGATAACTTGTGCCGTAGGTTGTGCCATATGGTTTTGTTTTGTATCCCAAAGTAATATTTGGGCAGAAAAATTTTGGATGAAAAGAATAAATGCTTTTACCTGGAGTTTGATATCATATAATTAATAAATCAATTTCAAATATCCTGAGCTTGCTTCTCTCGGTTCCGCGTCGATTGTGTCCACAGAACAGCAACCTGTCAATAGCCGGAGAAATCATGGGTTTATGTGAAATTTCAGATATTCCTCGCTTCCCAAACTGGTGAACTGGACTTTATGATAACTCCAGCAAATACCTCCAAAATTCAGCGGTCGGCATCTGTCGATAATCTTCTTTGACTCGTTGTTGCGAACTAAACTCGAAAACTAAAGCCATGTTTCGCGTTTAATGTCCCGTTGAAACTTTGGATTGCAGCTGCATTCTCTTCAAGAATCAGTCATAGAACTCCACCTGTAAGTCTATGTGTCGAAGTTTGGCGTTTTGGAATTTAAAGCTGAACGATTGCACTATCGCGCATAACAGAGGTCCGCATTAATCATTGCGGGTGAACCCGCTAACCCTTTATTTTTTTTGGAAGGCCTGCAAGTGTAGTATGGCATGCAAGTGCTTTTTCGAAACCAGAGAGGCTTTAGTCTGTAGCGAGTCTTCAGCGAGGTTGTTAAAGCTTTCATTGGACAGAGGATACGCATTGACGAAACACCCAGTGAAGGGAACAACAGCTGCAGTAAGAATAGTAGACGAATCAAAGAACGCTCTCTGTATAAATAAGATTGAGCATTTTAGTAGCTTCCACAACTTCGATTCGAATATGGAGATATCGGTCTGAGAGTTTGGAAATGTTATGTCATCGGTAAAGGGAAGTACATTCCATATGACGTAATTTATATCAAGCACCAAGGTCAAACGTCCCTTCAAACCATAGAATCTCAAGGGTTTTATGATCCTCCTGAAAAGCGTGTGGTCAAGCGTCGTTCAAAGGGCAGCAAGGAAACAGAGAGTACAACGCCATTGTTTGAATGCTCTGTGTTTGGATGTGTTGAAGTGTTCGAAACCTTTTCGCAGCTGGAGCTGCACCTGGACGTTGGAAAGCATACAGTCAGCAGGTTAAAGCCAGTATGATGCAATCAAAAGGGACTGGGCCCTTAAGTTCTCGTCGATAGATACCGCTGGTATCGAGTGTTCGAGCTGTTCGTTAGATTCTAGTACACCACTCACTTCTCCCGTGGATACTTCGCTCCACTCGTCTTTACGAACAGGATGGGCCGTAAGCAAACCAAGGGGAAGCGTTAGATTTTCAGAGAAGGTAAAAGAATACCTAACGGCACGGTTTACACTTGGAGAAAGAACTGGGCGAAAGGCCGACCCCGCCCAAGTTGCAGTGGATATGCGAAATGCGAAAAATGAATCAAATGCACGTTTGTTCACTAAAGAACAGTAGCTGACAAAGAAGCAAGTTCAGAGCTTTTTCTTTCGGCTAGCAGCAATGCGGCGAAAAGATCAGGGTGTGATCGGGATATCACTGGATGAGGAGGAAGATATCCAATGCGTCCAGGAAAATTCCGAGAGATAAGATCTGGTAGACAAAGTTAACAAAGAGATCAAAGTCTCACATCCAATCTGCTACGATACGTAGGACCTCTGTGAACGTTACCACAATAACACACTTCAGTAATTCAATGTGGTTTTGTTGAGAGCCATCTGTAGTCATTTTGAGATCCCTGTAAAATTGAGAGACAAAAAACAGATCCTCATAGACAAACTGTCGGACGTGATTAGTGATTGTCAGTGTGTTTCTCAGTAGACTTATGTAAACAATGTCTTATACGGTGGCTGAAAGTGTAGAATATGCTCTACAGATACAAACTACCTTTACTTCCGATATCAAGTTCTGACGGCGTTGTTATAGTGTAATATATTATAATATCTAGTAGTCAGTGAAATTTTTTGATGAAATCGATTGAAAATTTACCAAAAGCAACACTTATAACATCTGTTCATACGAAGCATGTGTCAAGTTTTTAACACGTTGGTGGCCGATTTCTCCGGCTATTGACAGGTTGCTGTTCTGTGGACACAATCGACGCGGAACCGAGAGAAGCAAGCTCAGGATATTTGAAATTGATTTATTAATTATATGATATCAAACTCCAGGTAAAAGCATTTATTCTTTTCATCCAAAATTTTTCTGCCCAAATATTACTTTGGGATACAAAACAAAACCATATGGCACAACCTACGGCACAAGTTATCAGCGGTCTTCTCTTTTGTGCGGACCTTTGTGAGAACAGTATGACATCGAACTGGATCTAAATTTAAGCGATTATTACTTCACTTCAGAAGCCTAAAACCTTCATTTCTCCCTCAGCTTCCAGACATGGAGAGTTTATATTCTGATTTTGGAAAAAATTCAGCTCTGCAGCGATGTTAAATGGGTGATTCACCGCGAAATGTGGCCAATTCCGGCATTTGTTTTGATACCACGAATCACGATGGATGCCGCCTACTTTTCGAAGGCAATACCTAGCTATTTGTTGAAGTTATCATGGATTTCACCAATTTGGTCATTAGAAAAAATTCTGAAGTGAGCCATGAAGCCGGGCTGCAAAGCGGGTAAGCTGTATTTATGACGAAATCTGCTCCAGTGGTTCGATTTTGGTGTAGGCGAAAAAATCGCGAATGCTCGTACATGTGCTGATTCAAACGGTCATAACTTTTGAAAAAATCGAAAACGTACAGGGGTTTTTGCATATTTTTGCCTATAAAGGTCTAAACTTAACGGCTGTGTAGGATAGAATCGTCAACCAGGTCCCAAATCCCAAAACTTAGCGTCTAAATCAAGGTTATTTACGGCCATCGGCCGATGGCGATTTCTAGTGGTCAGAATATGCTAAAATTCGCCTTTTCAAATTTGTTGAGAGGGCAAATTCTAACTTTCTTGGCAAACTAGAAAGGATTTAAGCAATCTGATATAAATTCTGTGGCTTAACTATGCGAATCAAATATTTTACAACGTTACAAAATATGCCTATTTTTCAATTTTCGAGACGTTGCGACGGTCCCTACGGACAGGGAAATAATTATGGCCCGTAATGCAGTCAGAAAATTATTTCGAATCAAACCAAATCTAATTTAGTTCTTTCTTAGGTAAAGTCTTTCTGTTAACAGAGTTTCAGGCAAAATTATTTTTGACGCAAAATTGACCGGGTGGAAATAAGAGAGACAGCCTCTTAAGTTCACCCAACTTGAAATTGAAAAAGAACAACGCTTTTTTTTTTTTTTTTTTTAAGAGAAAAATATCCACCCAGTTTATATTTCAGCATCGAATAAGTGATTTATAATTCCACTAGGATTTCATTATCTAGTTCAATAGCGTCTTGTTTTGACCTACACCTCACGGCATCATCAAAGATTCTCATGACGAAAACAATATAATCAATATAAACAATATATCTTTTTGAAATCTCTGCTGACAGCCAAATGAAAGTTTAAATCATTCATTGCGGAAATTTTGTTGTTCCACTCTCTGTCCGTATTTTTGCCCAGCTCTACGGTCCACTACAACAACATATTTTACGAGTTCTGTTGCACTTGAATGGTAAAACGGCTTGTCATAACTTACATACATTTTAGTTTATTATATATGTTGACAATTTTCATTTTCTCAGGCTACTATATGTACATCGAAGCCACCAAGAAAAATGCTGGTGACAACGCCAAGTTAAAGCTTTATTTAAACGGAAACGGAGAAGTCTCTTGCCTTAGGTTCTATTATCACATGTATGGAGATACTATTGGGGCACTCAATGTCTACAGTGAAAATCATTTAATATTCAACTCTATTGGAAATCATGGAAACCTTTGGATAAAGGCAGAAAGGACATTTCATTCAGATACAACAGTAAGTCTTGTTGGAAGAAAACGGAAACATATTTTTATAATAAGATCGCGAGTATCATGACAATATTGACCCCAATAGTTATGGGCAAGTATGATTTTCATCGAAAAAATCCAATGAACAGAAAACACACACCCACCAAAATTCATCAACAATAATTTTCGAGAGAAGGTTTCCTTTTTTTTTTTGACAATATTAATTGTGTTCAATCAATATTTAAATCCATCTCCACTAAAAATTTGGCAATTTTTGGGGCGTTATCTTTCTCTCCACCCTCTACGTCTAAATAAATTCATTAAGAAAATCCATCTTCGCTTTTGCAGTTGACATTTGAAGGAATAGTAGGATATTCCTTCACTGGTGACATAGCCATTGATGACGTCACCGTATCCAGTGGGAGCTGCTCAGGGCAAACTCCGCCTCCAACATGGCATTCAGCTCTGACAACTATTGAGCCTTCTTTAAAACCTAACAGTTCCAACAATGTGACCACCCAAAAGCCGTCCATGCCAGGTACTTGCCGAGATAGAAACATAGTCCTAGTCTTCAAGACCTAAGTTCATTATTTTATGTGGGAAGAGTCAAAAATGTGTCAACTGTTCTCTTATCTATATGTCAAATATGTCCCTTTGTCTTTCTGTCAAAAATTCAATTTTGACACATTTAAGGTATTCACCATTGTGCTTTTTTCATCAGGATTTTTTTTTATTAAACAAAACGCATTTTATACACTACTAAGCAATAGAACATACAAAATCAAATACGTTGAAAGAGCTAATGTTGAACCTCAATAAGAAGTAGAGCATGCTATATTTAATTTTCAGCACAATGTTTTGTCTTTTCTCTTTACGATTCTAGTTGATTCTCCAACAACCAAGGGGAATTTTACGTCGACCCACGTGCTGACTTACAATCCGACTACTATTCCTCGCACTCCATCGGCAAAAGAAATACAAGAAGCAGTAATGTTAAAAATGACAAATTTTGATATGAAGAAGGTGATCTTAAGTTATTATGCATTTATTTGGCGAAGACGAAGAAAAAATCCTACACGTTTATCATACAATATATCATTAAACACAGAAACAATTTTCACTGTACACGTAGTTTGAGTTGAATCAACCGACGCGAATTCCTTTTGTCGCAGCATTCATGAAATTATTCCCTTTCCTGTTTTTTATCTGTCCATCGCAGTGGAAGGAGATGGAAGCAGACTTTAAACGAGAAGTTGCAAGTGCAGCTAATGAATATTGTGCAGATGGAGGAGCATCCTGTCAAACAAGGTAAACCAATCAACAATCTTAAAACAGCAGTTAGCAAACTAAATGAAGAACAAAGCAAACGTAATGCGAAGGGACGAACGGTGAGATGGATAATTATACTCATCAGATGGCCTAGGCCGATGGCTGCTATAAAGTCCGCTCTAATTGACTATGAGCAGAGTGAATACGGCATTAAGCCCTAATAGCACCCACGGCTCCACTATCGACTACGCATATAAGGAAGAACGAGATAGGATATCTAAGGACCGCAGTAATAGTAATAATTATCATATACTTGTGGAAGGTCTCATATACTGCTTGATCCATTTCAGTCTTCGTCGGAGACGATCATCCGATAGCATGAAGAACCTCATTGGGAACCCTCAATTCTCAGACGATATGGTTCAGATTGTCTCTGGTTACCCAAGGCTGTCACCGGACGATCCAAGCATAACGTTGTTGGCTTTTTACCTACAACTTCCTGGAGGTGTCGGAGATAATTTGGTCAGCGAAGATGTCCTGAAAAACATCGTGAAAAGCGATATAAAATCTATTGAAGGGTCGATGGGTGTTAGCATCACAACTGTTCAGTCAATGCCATCCACTAAGAATGAAGTAGATCAAGAAGATGAGACAGATGACAAAGGATCAATCTCAACCTCGGTTATTGTGGGTGTTACCCTTGGATCCCTGTCCTTGCTGGGGATTCTCATCGCTGTCAACTTGTTTATCAAATCTAATAGGTACAAGAGTCTCTTTTAAAGTTCAAAGAGGAGCAGATGAATAATCATATCGCTATGTCATAGGGGTTTCTCAAATAAAACGATTTTGCCTCGACTCCAAAGCGACTGTAGGCCCCTCAACGAGCTGAGAAAGGGGTAATTGTGGGAAAAGGAGAGATTAGGAGAAAGGAACAGGTCATCAATTTTTATCTGTATAAAAATATGAAGATTATGACAAAAAAAAAATAAGCTAGAAGTTGAAATAGCAATTTAGCTGGGCTGAGTTGGCTTTCGGTTCTCTCGAAATTCTTTCACTCTCACAGACATTTTAAATAGGTATCATGTGATAGTTATCACCTTCATAGGAGTTTCATTTGATTTCCACCATAGGTTCGGCCCCAAACGCCGTGCCCTGTCCACCGACAAGGTCAATCAAGGAATTGAGTTAGATCAAGAAGCTGTTAATAAGAATGCAGATAAGCATGGTGTGACTTCCAGCAAACCAAGTGGTACGACAATAGCTGGGGTGTCAGTTGAGGAAACATCACTTGACGAGGAATACCATGAGGAGAAGCTGCCCAGGCCCGGTGAAGAGATCCCGCCAAACGAAAATGTGAACTGCTGATCTGTATGAAAAGGAAGGTGGCCCTTGTTCCTAGGGAAAAAACAGTTATTTTTTTAAAACTTCTTCTCTTACGACTTTTCGCGTTCATGATTGTCCTCTGGTCGGAAATACACGGAGTCGTTTTGGGATTTTTTTTCCGTTGTATAATTCGGTAACCTCTGCTGTAATTTCATGCAAAGTAAGTTCCTTTAAGCCGACTGTCCATGATCTTGGCAACTCTAGCCACTAAAACACGAAATTTGGGTAAAATGTTTCTTGCGTTTGATTTAAAGGGAAGCAATCTAGAACTAGAATATTATAATTAAAACTTGATGATGTAAAGAGACCGAGGATTCGACCATGAAGATATTCGTAGATACCTTGAAATAATACCTGGATTTCATTTTTACATTGTAGAAATCAATTCCAACACAATGAAGTATTCGATTTAGTTTTAAGTTGATTTGATGTTGTTCTTGGCTATATTAAAGAGGTTCAGAAAAGTTTTAGATGGTATTTATTCAAGTTTGCAGATAAATGAGTTTACTGGAAGGTGGAGTTCTGGCAACATGTTAACATGAAACACAACAATAAATTTATTGATCTGTAAAAAGGTTTTCATATGACCACACACTGGCAAGTCTTTGTACTATATCAACCCAACCTTTTAAATTTTTGCAACTTGTAAACACCATCACGAAATAATTAGTCGTGGAAATGGAAAGTTTGTTACATATACACCATGTCTGAAGTTCCATGCCCAGAATAAGCTAACAGGATTGAGGGGGGTGTATGTTGATTTATTATCTGCTATGTAACGGGGGAGTTTCCTTCACTTCTGAAGTTATCACACGTGCGCCCACGTCTGAAAAAGGATAACCTCGACAAGGAGATTCTTAAGAACTACAGGCCTTTTGCTAATATTCCGTTCCTTAGCAAAGTGATCGAAAAGGTTGTCGAAACACGAATAATTTGATGCCAACTACGCAGTCTGCATACAGGAAACACCACTTTACGGAAATGACCTTGCTACGTGTGACAAACGACATTTTTAGAACGGTTGACCGTCGCCAAGATGTTGTATTAGTACTACTCGATTTATCAGCGGCCTTTGACACTATTGATCATACGATCTTGGTGGAATGACTCAAGTCTTACTTTGCTTCCCAAAACTAACTCTGTGCTGGTTCAGACCTTACCTTGAAACCGTCGGCAATCAATAGTTATTAGAGATCAAGTGTCCACTCCTTGTGCTCTGCGTTAAGGTGTCCCACAGGGCTCTATACTTGAACCATTACTTTTCACCCTTTGCATCGCCCCTCTTCAACACGTAATTGATCGCCATAGCCCTCCGAAGTTGTATAGAGGATGTAATACGATGGAACACGCAAAACATGCTAAGAAGTAATGCTGAAAAGACGGAGTTTATACCATTTACATCCCGGTTCACCGAGACACGTAACATCGAGAAGCTCTCTCTTTTGCCAATACCGTCATTGAAATAAGGGAGAAAAAAATTCAGTCGGGATCGCAGAATTGAAGAACCTCATTGGGAACCCTCAATATAGCATACTATAAACTGTGTTGATATCGCATTACTGCAAAGGAAAGTCAGTTGGCAACGGCGAATGGCTCTGAAACAGACCAACCAAGACATTATAATTCGGAAATTCCTTCAGAAAGCGTTTAGGTCGAGGAATTTATTGAGTAGGCTTTGCGTTCTTCAACTTTTCTGTTCAACAGCAAATTGCTTTCAAAAAATCAATTTTACTTAAATTTCAGTTTTATCTAATTTTGAGTTTAGAGCTGCAAACCGAGACTGAATAGTTAGACATGATAGTTTTAATCGTTTTTCCATCGCTGTTTTTTTTTTTTTTTTTACTTTCAGTGTCGAGGTTTTGCTTTTGTTCAGCTTATTAATGGTTTATTTATTTATTTTTTGGTTTTATTTGTTTTTGCTTTTGCAGGCAACCCATTCAAAAATGTCACGTTTGGCTTTCCCTGCCGGCTGCATCGAGGTTAATATGCAGTTGCATCGAAGAAGGCTAATCACATTTGATTATAGTCCTTCTTAGTTTTAGTCAGAATCAAGGATCGTAATCTTCGTGCAGAATTGTAGTGACCCGTTTTAGTTAATACATTTGACTTGCATCATTTTTCTGTCGTCATTTTAGTAGAATTCCCGTTGGTACGTTAGCGAGGTAAAGTGCTCTTTGCTATCCCTCGTTATTGTGTAAAAAATATTTAAGGTGAAGTTGTGTTTTCTTTCGGTACATTTACCAATATTTGAGTAAAATAAAACTTCGTCGTATGTCACTTTGTTTTAGCATTTCCATCTTATAATCAGGTGGACCATGTCTCTTTCCATCACCTTCATTGTGGAAACGTGTAACATTACAAAGTAGCACTTACGAACAAGTCTCTGTAAGAATCAAACATCTTGGGAAATGAAAAGAAGAAATGATAGCCACTATTCAACCTATCTCTTCCATTCCAGCTGGTGTACAGTACTATATATGTGATGATGACTACACTATTAGTGAAATGCATACAACAGTGTTGCTGCAGCATCGTCCAGCGGTTTGTTAGTCTCCAATCTTTGCGCGGTTTACCGTATTTTTAAAAATAGTTTTCGCGCCAATAAATTAT